CCCCCGGCTGAGATAAGCACAGGCAGCGCGCTCGCTTGCTCGCTGCGGCTCGTTCGCGGTTATTCATCTCGCTTTAGGGTTTCACCAACTCCGGTTAACCCATTGAATAAAGAATTCCAGGAAAGAGCATGTTGCGATATATCGTGGGTAATCGATTGTGTTGCATTGATTCAGTTTGATGACGTAACTACATCATAAGTGACGTTACCGGAAACACAGTCTGGCGGTATACTTTAAACATCTTGGAAGTATATAGCAAAGGAATATTGATTTTAAAAGAATAATAGAAAAATTGTACTTATATTTTGCTCATATTGGTGAAGGAAATAAAATTAGTCACTTGTAATAATTTTCTCTTCAATACTTCAACTTCAACTTCAATATCTGGCTCCAGACCTCTCTAAGAGTTATGCCCCAACGCCATTTTTCCGATTAATGATCTATATCGAGAGTAAAGTCTTGGAAAATTCCAAGACACGTTCCAAAAAATCACACGGTCCGAACGTGTTCGAACACGTCTTGTCGTGACGGCGGTTAGGCCAGGACTTCGCGAAAAGATTCTTCTCTTCAATACGTTTACGTACCTTTGTCTATTCGATTAATTGACAATATTACGTCATAACATTTACTTCAATTCCATAGTATCGATAATCGCATTTGGTTCACTTTCATTACGTCACATCCTTCGCACTTCTAACAAAGGATTTTCTCTTTATGTTTCCTTTCTGATATTCTTTATTCAATGGGTTAACCTAATCGAGGGTTAAAAATAGCAGAGTAGCCAACTTTTTTTTAAATGCGACGTGCCATAAACAGTGTCATACTGAACCTCAATAAACAATTTATATTCAATCTCGATATTGGCATTTCTGATAGAATTTAACCGGAGTTGGTGAAACCGGCCCTTAGGAACAAACTCAGACTGCGCTCCGAAATTCACTGTCAGTACTGAAAATCTACAGTATACATAACATAAACTGTACATTTTCAGTTTATTGGCAGTGAATATCTCAGAACGCAGCCATAGTACACCGGCGAAAGAGCAAATGCCCAGTGTCATTCGCATCAGACGTGCGAATTTCAAGCCTAAATCCGACGTCAATGCCGCGACTTTAAAAACCGCTATAGCACGCGAGTAAATCGACGTAGAGACGTGAAACAAAAAGAAGTTTGAATATTCAAGACCCATTCACACAAGATACTTACTTAAGAAACCCAAAGGTTACACTCCGATTTCTTTCTAATTCGGCACAAAGAAAGAAGTAAATATTTAGGTCATATTTTTTTCATTTTGGCCCACTTTGAGTTTCGCGGGCAGTTCATAGCCTTTTAATGTTCTCACTCCTATCATCAACAAGAGCAACAAAAATACATAAGAAATAAAATTAAATACAAGATATAGGAGTTTTTAGCTTATTGATTATGAATATGAGGTCAAATGTGTAAAATTATTTATATAAATAATTATACAATATTATAATTACTCGTATTATTTGTATAATTTAGTACAGATTTATTTCAGTTAAAATCTCGGTTAAAGAAATTTAAAATAATTCGTATCTCAGCTAAACCGTTTTTGTTAAAGTTTTAATTAAAATTGCCAAATTTCTCGGTTTGGTCGAAATCATCAATATGTACAACAAAAATGTATAAAAAGTAAAATTAAATACAAGATATAGTTAAATAATTATAACAAAATTGACATAACTGAGACACGAGACCATTCTAAATTTCTTTAGCCGAGATTTCAACTAAAATATTTTAAATCTGTGCTAAATTAGTCAAAAATTGTTCGAATTTCACCCAAACCGAGAAATTATTTATATAAATAATTTTTTTTCAACTTTTTATATGTTTTGCTTAAACATTTTATTATTTATATAAATAATTTTACACATTTGTAAAATCATTTTTGACTAATTTGGATTTAAAATATTTTGATTGGAATCGACTAAAGAAATTTAGAATAATTCGTCTCAGCTATGTCGATTTTGTTAAAATTTTAATTAAAATTTACGTATAGGACCAAAATGAAAAAATATAACTTAAATATTGTTTGTACTTCTACATTTGTGTCAAATTAAAAAGAAATCGGAGTGTACTTTTGGGTAGGTTTACTTGTTAGATATAATTGCTACTCTTTTAGTTCTACTTCACAAAAAAATGTTCAATTTCGAATATATTTTTAGCCCTATCGAAAATGCATCTTATATGTGCTAGCCAACTCTTGGCGATGACAACAAAGCGATTAGCTTTTTAGCTAAATTTGATTCAGTTGCTGAAATTTAGCTGATATTATCGAGTTATTTCTTTACACGTAGTTCGGATTGAAAGAACTGAATTGAAAATAAATTCTTCAAAGTGATCAAGGTTTGTTACGATAGTTGAAAATAGGTATTGATATATAATTATTCTGGTTACTACTAGTACTTTCGATTCGCTCGATCTTTTATTAGACCACGGATTCAACTATGCAAATTAAAATTAATGAAAAGATAGATCTTACATCGCAGAGAGACCGCGAGCACATTTGTGCCTTCCGAGGAGAAATTTTAAAGATATCTGAAAGTACCATTATTTTTCCAGTCAAACTTAAGACAGTGGCCGGGAAAGGAGCTCATAACCAAATGAGAAAACACGCTTAAAACTCCATTATTTTTATCTCTTATCTCGCAGATTATTATCTCATAGAATATTCTGAGAGAGACAGTTATACAGATCCATTAACTGTCCCAACAAATTTATTTCTAAGTGGTCTCTAAAATGACGCGATCTCAGCAGATGTATTCAGATTTTCCAAAATTATTTTCGCTAACGCAAACTCTCTCCGGTCATTACCTCGATCGTTTAACATCAAGTGCTACGTTACGCGAGTAATATGTTTAAATCAATACACAAGTATTAAATGAAAGCGGATCATCTTACGTTGCTCAGGCTTAATTCAGCTTTCCTCTTGTTGTTGGATGTTAATTAACATTACACCAAATGCGTCGTGTAAGAAGCCTCTCTGCCATTACAGGCTGTTTGCGCGCGAAAGGAAGGATAGGCGCGACAGCAGCATTGCTATCGACAAATTTCGTAACTATCTATAGAGCTTGATGGTAATGCAGGACATTGTCATAACCGACATTATCTACTGTTTACCTACGCACTTTTCTTGTTATCATCCATGCCTCTTCCCGGTTGTTTCCCATCCTGGATATCCTTTCAGATGACGCTAGTGCGCGGCGAATTTATTTTATTGTCTAAATTCGTATGAAATAATCGACCTTGATGGTATCTACCGAGGAGAGATAAATTTTTGCTTATCTCCAGAATATCCATTTCGTTATGTAATAATAATGCGTAAAACTAACTCATTCTTATTCTTAATAATGCGTAAAACTAACTATTCTTATTCTTTTCACAGTATCGTCTAAAAACAGATCGTTAAGTAAATCTCTAAATTCTCGGAATTCTTTTTTCTTAAAATCTTCGAACACGCTTCACAACGCTTACGATAAAAAAAATCCAATCTGTAATAATCGAAATATCGAGTCGTTCTTATCAAGAAATACGTCAGCACGTATTCGAGAGGTGAGATTTGAACGATTTGTCAGTACACGATTCTTGTCACGAGACGTATCCTTCTCTCTTTTCCGAGCGTGTCGTCAGAAAGAATGAGTCACGGTATCTTATCGCACTTGTGCGATGCTTTATTATAACTCTTGATCTCGCGTAATTTCCGAACTTCTGCTAGCTATTTCTCACTCACACTAAGTCCCGCGCTACACCTAAATTCGTCGAAGCCGGGCACCATCACGAGGCGCGTACATGTACAAACGCATATCGATTGATGACGGTGTGAAAGTTTCGCCGGGGATCCAAACACCGCTGCGATAGTCTCAAGGTCGGCTGTCTTGCTAGTAGTGCAGATCCCCGAGCGCGATTCTAAGGATACCCAAGACGGACAGATGATCGCAGTCAGTCCGTAGATTCCGTGAACGTCCAACGCGCGCATTCGACTCGCGAAATCTGCTCGCTACAATATGGGCGCGAATAATTGCAAAGGGATGCTACCTACCGGCTCCAAGAGAAATACCAACTCGATTCAGGACGAGTCCATCGCAACAGGTGTGTATCCACATGGGAACGAATGTCTCGTGAAATTGAGGAAATCGTCATGACAATCGAGGAAATTCCTCTCCGACCTTCTTCCTCAGAAAATAGACAAACTTGTCGCGAAGTGCAGCGCAAAACTTCGCCCGCTTTTGGTTAGCTGGCGCTACTAATTTTGTTTTGACAGTGTTTAGTATACAGTCAGTGAAAAAAAAAGTTCTAACACTTTTCAGTAAACGAAAGATCGTTGATAGAACGTTATTGTAACAATACTCAGTAGCGTTTAACGTTTTCTGGTATGCAGTTTTTAACATTGTGTCAACATCATTATACAAATAACTTCTCAAACATATTTCTCTTAAAAATCTTTGAGATATTCAAAGATATCAATACCCGGTAATATCTTTGAATTATTTGTAAAGTATTCAGCGAAAACGTTCGGAAAATACACTCAATATTTCAAGATATTGATCTAATGTTCTTTGTTTATGTATCGATGAATTTCAGACGTATCCGGTATTTAACAAATTATTCCCTAACTGAAAAAGCTATGTTTCTTATAGGATGTATCGGATAGGATGTATTCTTATAGGACGTGAAACTCATTGGAAAAAAAGAACTGTTACGACTTTGATTACATCGACTGTAACAATAACGTAAACGCTCCTTCAAAAAGTCCTGGAAAAATTCATGCATTCAATTCGATTTGTTCTTCTCGTTGAAATTAATTTTCTCGTGTCCTTGAAAAAGTGATCACGTAACATAACCGTGCAAAGTCGTTTAATTAGGAATAGAAAATGTAGTATCTAACAACACTAGTTGATGAGAAATAACGTAGAGTCATGTAGTACGAGGACACGCGACGACATCGATCTGCGATGATAACTTTAAGCTGCTTTGTCTCGCGACAATCGATGTTGTGTATAAGGACACTTCGAAGGAACTGGGCAGCCTTGATGGACGTTCAATTGTCGCGTGTTTTCTATGGTAGGCTGTGATATTTACGGGCGTGTAACGACAAAGTGAGGAGCACGAAACGCACAAGGACGCACAATTTCTAATTCGGACGAACTATTGCGAGAATACTCGAGCACTCGCTCGTGTTTCTTAATGGCTGAAATAGAAGACTCGCTACTGTAAGAGGTTATAGAAAGTTCCGTGAGAACATGTAAACAAAAACAGACGTATTAGTTGTACAGTATTTCCAGAGACGTAGACTGTTCACTTTGGTTCATTTCTTAACCACGTTTTGTTGACAGATATCCCGAAATACAAAACAGATGTACCAAATGCTAAACATAGACTGTGTCTTCATATTTATCCTTTAATAATAGAATCTATTTTTTCCTTATGTGATCTACTTTTATTCACGTATGATCGATATTGAACATACATACTAAAAATCACGACTTCAGTGTTAGCAGCTGTCACGTTGAAATGATTTAGATATGAAGAATTCACGAGAAATGTTATTCCAAAAAAGACAAATTATTTTTTGGTACACGTGCCATCCTCGTGGAGGCCATTGAAGACATCTCGAAATGAATGAGCAATTCTCTACGCACGATACAATGTATATTGGGTGCGGTGTGTACGTGTATTGACGTTTTGTACCACGTGCGCGACGCTCGAGTTGCGCCGATGTGTCATACGGTATCGACAGCAAATTGCGTAAAACGTTGTTTATGACAAAAATATAATACATCCGTAGCATTTAGAGGAAGTTCTCGGTGGAATTATCGCGGAATCGTTCACTTATTCGTTAAGTCATTGATAACCTAGAGAGTGCAAAGTTTCATTTTACAAATAAGATAATACAACAACTAGGAATACCCGTTCGCCTTTGTAAACTTCCTCATATTTATCATATTTTACTATATGCTACGTTATATAATCGATGCAAGTCATGCATTGTATACATGGTTAATGAGGCTTTTAGATTTAGTATGGAGGTATTCTGTAGCTCGACTAATCAAAGGTAGTATTTTTTTCCATTCATAGTTGCCATTCATATTTGTTCCTTGTCTACAAGTTTTCGTGAAGACAAATAACAGAAATTAATCTGATACTAGACATAAAAAGTCACAGAAAAAATATAATAAGCTTTCATAATATGATATATATATATATATATATATATATATATATATATATATATATATATATATATATATATATATATATATATATATATATATATATATATATATATATATATATATATATATATATATATATATATATATATATATATATATATATATATATATATATATATATATATATATATATATATATATATATATATATATATATATATATATATATATATAAAATATATTTATGTATTCTCTCTTATATATTTTGTATACTTAAATATTATATTACCTCAAATATACAAGTTATGACTGAAAATTACATAATTCAATATCTTATACTTGCTAGAAAAGATCCTTTCAGTCATGTCAAATAAAAATACAATGGAAAAAAAGTATGCTTGTCAAATACGTAAAGTAGAAGAAAATATCCCCCAAAAATATAATGGATTACCATGTTACTGTGCTCGTATGTCACCTATTATTGCACTTGTGATATAATGTTACATGTAAAAAAATTACCAGTTACTTTCTTCTTGTTCCTAATAGGTAGCTCTGAGACACATGATTATGTGGAAGATGTGGTATGCAAGCAGGAAGATATCAACGAAAATGAAATGAAATTACTACCACTTGGAGATGAAGGGAGCAAAATTTTACTGATAAAACAAAAGGGAGAATTACATGCAATTGGTACCAAATGCACGCATTATGGAGCACTACTAAATACTGGTGCATTAGGAGATGGACGAGTGAGGTGTCCATGGCATGGTGCATGTTTCAACATCAAAACAGGTGATATCGAGGACTATCCAGGACTAGATTCCTTACCATGCTACAAGGTATACATGAACTAGTTCAATTTAAATTGCAGTTCTCTTTCCTCCCTATTTTGTTTCATTATCAGCTTCTTTCAGTTTATTTTTAGCTTATTATCCTTGTGCATATTTTCAGGTTAGCGTGGATACAGCTGGTCTTGTTCGAGTAAGAGCTAAACGTACAGATTTGGAGATTAACAAACGTATGAAGGAAATGTCCGCGCGTGATCCTCAAAATAAGAAAACAGTCGTGATAGTCGGCGGAGGGCCGGCAGGTGCAGTTTGCGCAGAGACTCTACGACAGGAAGGCTTTACAGGACAAATCGTTATGGTGTGCAAAGAGGATGTTGTACCGTATGATCGAATCAAAGTGTCAAAAGTATTTGATTTCGATATTCAGAAAGCGGCATTACGATCACCTTTGTTCTACAACGATCACGAAATCGAAACAAAACTTGGCGTAGAAGCTATAGGTATAGGAAAATAATATACATACTTACATTAATTCTCTTTGTAATTACATTCATCATCTTATTATTATTATTATTATTGTTATTACAGGCCTAGATACGTCTCAGAACTTTGTTAAGTTAAGTAACAACGAAGACTTGAAGTATGATTACTTATTTACTTGCACAGGCGGTAAGCCAAAGATGACGAGTCAGCCTGGAAGTAACTTGAAAAATATTTTTGTTATGCGAAATTATACTGACTCGCATGGCATAAATTCGCTACTTTCCCCGGATAAACACGTAGTTATATTAGGAACGGGTTTCATTGGGATGGAAGCGGCAGCAGCTTGTATCGGAAAATGCGCAACTGTTACAGTGATAGGGCACAATAGCGCACCTCTAGCAACGATATTTGGCACGGACATTGGCAATAGAATTAAAAAGGAGCATGAAACGAAAGGTATTATAATCACCAATATTTTATTTATTTAATTTATTTTACGCGACATTACATTAAATGAATTAATAACAAACAACCTTTTCAGGCGTGAAATTTATCAAAAACAGTATTAAACAGTTCATTCCAAAAGAGGAAGGAGATGTCTTGGCTAAAGTAGAATTTACAGATGGTCAAATCTTACCAGCAGACATATTCATTATTGGAATAGGAACCACATTTTACACAGACTGGTTGAAAGAATCACATATTCAAATGAATGATAATGGCACTATACCAGTAAACAAGGTATAAAAAGAACTCCAGTTTCTTTCTTTTATAATTTTTTAAAATTTTGTAGATTTGTTACAGGTTATCTGTTATTTTGTGTTTTTTCAAAATTGGATATTTATTTAATTGTAGTATCTAAGAACAAACATAGAGAACGTGTATGCCGGAGGTGATATAGCCTATGCACCGATATATGAATGCGACGACATATTGGCCGCGATAGGTCATTATTCTTTAGCGCATTATCATGGTAAAATTGCAGCTCTGAACATATGCGGCAAGGAAACTCCGCTAAGAAGCGTACCATTTTTCTGGACAAATTTATTTGGCAAAAATTATCGATACGCAGGTAAAACTTATATATTCTACTACAAATAAATCCTGTAAAATCTAATTTTTCAGATGCAATTGTGATTTACATAAAACGTTAACAATTTAATTTTTTTTTACTTTATTTTTAGGTTACGGAAAGCCAACTGCCATAAAGATTCATGGCTCACTAGATAATTTGGAATTCTTTGCTTATTATCTTAAAGATAGTAAAGTGATAGGAATGAGCAGCGTTAATGCTGATCCTGTTGTATCAGATTTCGCGAATTTACTTTATGAAGGAAATACATTAACAGAAGAAGAAATTAATACAAATCCGTTTGGTTGGATGAAAAACAAACCAAAGGATGTGTCAATGCGATTCAAAGATAGCATATTAGTAGATCCTTGAGTTGCTTTACTATGACAACAATATAACAACTTCGTATTTTGCAACAATGTTGCATCAATATTAGAATCAATTTTTAATTTGTACATATACAATATGCACTTCTTTAAATAAATTCATATAATCTATTCTATTATTATTTTTTGTTAGAATTAAATACACAACACACAGGTAACTCCTGGAACAATAATATTAATAAAACGAAATCAAATAATTTTTTTTACTGTTTCAAGTTTTTAATTTTTAAATATTCTCAATTTTTCTGCATGATATATATATATATATAATAAAATGTATAATTAGTAATCACTTTTTATTTGCGACACAACAATTAAAACACTATTGATTACTTTGTAATACTATTTTATTTATATTTTTTGTATACTTATACTCATAAAAATTTTTACTATTTTTTTGTGTGTCCTACCTCAGTTTGAATGCCAATAAAGTTAAAAATACACAAGACTTTATATTTCTTATTAACTTCCTACAAAAAACTAAGATACTCTATATATTTGACAATTCCTATAGTACCATATCAGTTCATATATCAATCTACATGTATAGCACTTGTGACAGAAGGGAAACATTGAATATACATTCTTAAAGTCAATATTAATTTAATTCACAATCTAAAATATACAATAGTGAAAGAATTTTATTTATATGTTCAGGGAAAATATTTAATCCCATTGTTCTCCATATCCTAAGCTGAAAAGACGGTCAGTAAAGGTAATCTGTTTGGAAAATTTCTGTTTTGCTTTTTCAAACTGTTTGATATGAGCCTTTTCATCTTTATTAGACAGAGCCTTTTTATGACCAAAAGATTGTTCAACTGTAAGATAGGGATGTCGTAGAATCAACATGTTTTGCTCTTCTCTCTCAAAATCTATCTTCATTTTAAGTAAATCGTGCATAGTCGGTTTTTTGACAATACGATATTTCCTGTGAGCATAATATAGAAAATTTATGAAAAATTTTCATATACTTACACGTATATATGTCTACGAGATACAATAAGGAAATATATAACATAATTATGATGAAAGAAATCATAATTTTTACTGATAATAAAAGATAAGTATATACGAAGAGTATATATATTTTTATAATATGCACTTACCCTCTAAATCTGTATGGAAGTCTACTAATTTTTATAGCGCTCAATAGAACTAATCCGAGCTGCATTATATATCAAATGTTATATTGCTTATATAACTCGTTAACGAGTTATTTATTAATTTCGATATAACTCTAGTTGTACGAGTTACATACACCTTGTTTTTTAAACGATATATCGATTTAAACTAAATTTTTAGGTTAGAAGCGTCAACAAGAGATTTGTTCGTATTACTTGCACTTTTACATCTAATGCAGGATTCACACCGCGTCCGACGTACGACGTCCAATATCCAATAAAAGAATAACTTTCTAATGGAGAATTGAATTCTATATTAGAAAGCTGTTCTCTTATTGGATATCGGGTGTCGTACGTCGGACATCGGACGCGGTGTGAATCCTGCATAGCAACTGTTGTAAGTTGCCTCGTATACCGAGGCTGCGTTCTGAAATTCACTGCCAGTAAAACTCACTAAAAATTCACTGAAAATCACTGAAAATCTACACATCTGAGTGCTTTCCAATTGCTTAACACATCTTGACGTACACAAAACCAGTTTATTGGTCACATATTATCTAAAATATCTTGTAAGATAATATGCAACCAATAAACTGGTTTTGTATAACACAGTATACGTAACTGGAAAGCACCCATAGAGTATCTGACGCATGCGCAAAACGTTCATAATAGTCAGAAAGAGAAAGAAATATATATTCCCGTACCATGATTCTGGGGCCGGTTCTCTTTCTGGTATACGTGATATAAATTATACAGTATTTTCAGTACTGGCAGTGAATATTTTTATATTTATTTTAATCCGTTGTGTTACTACGAATATTGCGAAGACGAATCTGAAACTTTCTATAGTCACATTAACAAAAACCTTTTTTTTCCATAATAAGTATATCAGATAAAAATTGTTTAACGTTCATATATTTGGCCATTAGTAATTTTCTTACAGTTGTGTATTTACTTCGATTTTTGCTTGTAAATTGAAAAAATAATGCAAAACACAGAAAAGCATCAAACAAATAAGATGCACATGATGAAGTATAATTAAAAGTTATGAATCATAACTTTATACAATATAAATTTATATATTTTGTTACAAGAAAAATAATATTTATCTTCTGTCCGTTTTCCCAAGTTTTCTTTTGCCTGAGAAAAGATGTTTAGGCATCTTTGTGCCAATAAATCGATCAGCCTCGCCTTTAAGGCCCTTCTTCGCGATTTTCTTCTTTTGTGCCTTTTGATTGATCTTCCTTAATTTCGATTTCATCTGCATGAAAAAAATTTAATAAAAATAACATTATATTTTTAGATAAAAATATAGAGCTGTCCCAAATAAGAGATTCAGTACGGCAATATTTCTATTTAGCCTGATTCATTTTTTTTTAAGAACAAGAGAGTAAACTTTCATTTTCTTAATTTTAAGATTAGTTTCCTTAGGATTTCTCAGGTCTTTGAAATGTATATTCTCTAACTCACCATTTGATCTTTAATACCCATCTCATCTCGCGCTGGTTTCGAACTGCTACGAGCACGCGATTGGGACACAGACTCCAAACGTATACGTTTTTTAGCAGGTTGCGAAAGCGACCTGGATCGTCCTCTCGTTCGCTTGAAGTGCGCCTAGTAAAAATTAATATAATATTACGATACAATAACAGTGCCGACTATTGTGTAATAATTGAGGAATAATTAGAGCCAACATCATTAAAATTTTCTTAATCGTACTTGATATTTTTCGCTTACGTTTTCAGTGTTTTCCATATCTACACCCAGCTCCTCCATCTGCTCTTTGAGCTTGGAAACCGATCGATCACGAACTTTCGATGTAGACGTACGTGGCATAACAGGTTTCGTAGAGGCCTTCAATATGCGTGCCTCATCCTTCATAATGGCCTTTTTCTCACGAATCTGTTTCGCTAGTTGTTTGATCTCACGCATAGTTTCAGATAATTCCGGTACCTTATAATCATACATGCCGGCCTCTTCTCTCAATTGCTCTTCTCGTTCCAATTGATTTAATTTCTGGAAAAAATAGAATCGTGCAGTATAAAGATATATTGCCGCACGGTAATCTTATAAAATTCGATAATACAAAATGGGAACCGACTTCGAATATCTCTGGGTCTATATAATCCGCTATATTATGACCCTCCCATATTTCTGGAATTATGTCATATTTCTGATCACCGTCGATATCGTAATTCTTTTTCAGATCGAGGACATAATCGTCTCCCATTTCTTCCTCGATTTCTCTTTCAAGTTTCCGTTTTCTCTCGGCTTTCTCAGCAGTAGCTTGTTTCTTCTTTAATACGCTCTCTGGTATACATGGAGCGCGAACTTTATTATCTCTTTTTGTTGGTTGAGCAACATGTAATCTGTTCAACAGTCCCTCTACCTGTAATCATTGTAACTTTAACCATTGTACATAACAATTACATGCTGATACTTTGTTTTAATCAAAATAAAATCTTCAGATTAATTACCTTCTTAGTTTTGATCTTTTGATCGACTCTGTAAGCTAAAAGCCGTTCGCAGGCTTCCGTTTTTACTTCCATCACACCGAAATCTGTGATAGTACTCATTTCCAACACCGGAACATTCTTGTCATTTTCTAGTGGTTTCAGAACATTTCTTTTTTCTGGAGATAATTCTTCCAGACGTATAATATCCATTTTATTCATTACTATTATCAGTGGTTTATTCGTGAACAAAGGTTTTATGGACTCAAATAACTTCACCTATATAATCAAAACAGTTATTATAATGCTGTGTATATACTGTTTGCATGTATCATATTGTATCATAGTTTACCTGTTCCTCCAAAGAATGACCACACTGTTCTGACAAATCATAGAAATAAAGCACAGCAGCTCTTAAGTGAGCAAGAGCTGTCACTGCTTGCATTTCTATGACATTCCTTTCTTCTAGGGGATGATCTAATATTCCAGGTGTATCTATCACTTGCCATCTCAAATATTTATAGTCAGTATGTCCTACATACAAAGATTTTGTTGTAAAGGCATATGGTTGAACTTCCACATCAGCTCGAGTAATCTATATGAATTAAGTCAAGTGAAATAATGCAAAATACTATATATATATGATTATAGCTGTTATATATACATATAATATTTACTTTATTGATGAAACTGCTTTTGCCGACATTTGGGAATCCACATATAATTATTGTACGTGTATAAGGATCTATACTTGGCAATCGAGATAAGTGCTGACGGACTTGTTCCAAATATGTTAAATTAGCTGCTTGCCTTTTCATAATTGTAGCCATTCGACCTAATGCAGCTTTTTTTAATTGTTTGCATCGGTACAGAGAATCTCCATACTTCAATAGTCGGACATAATCTTTTGCTACACTATAATCAGAAAATAAACATTTTAGGTTCTGTTCCAAAACGTCCTTTCTGAGGAAATTTTACTCGATACTCTATAGTATATGTAACATGAACTATAGTTATTGAGTAAAATTTTCCTCAAAAAGAATGTTTTAGAATGCAACCTTAAAAGTTTTATACATATATATATATATATATATATATATATATATATATATATATATATATGTGTGTGTGTGTGTGTGTGTTAATTATAAATCAATATACTCTTACTTATCAATTAAATGTCTAGCAGTATTTATTTGCCCAAGAGCCAGCTTATAATGATCCTTATCATATAAAACATTCATCAAATCAGCATAAAATGGATGAACATCATCTAACTTGGGAAATTCTTGTATTATGTGGGACAATCTGTCGTGGAAGTTTTGCTGAGTAAACTTAACTTTCCGTGTATAAAACGTACGTATTCTTGTGATCTTATACTGCCTATGAATAACTGTTGGTGTTTTACGTTGTGTCTTCGATAAGATTATATCGATAAATTCCTATAAGAAGTAAAATATGCAATTACAGTATAATCTTATAAAACAAGGAGATTGGATTACTTCTCCCAATTTTGTGTGAAACAGATTATAAAAAAATAGATGTCTTTGATAAAAAAAAGTCGGATAAAACTTATAGGTAGAGAACCAATGTGTGTCAATATATCAAAGTTAGTGCGTAAACCAGAAATAATTTAGTAATGAATCCAGAATATTAATACAATTACATGCCAGCGATCTCGGACAAATTTCAAAAGAGGGTCTGTAATCGTATGGCAGTCTTCTAAGACCAAATATCATTCAATTTTTGTATTAATTGGGTAATTAAATTATTTCTAGTTTACGCGCAAACATCGGCCTACTAACTCTTATTATCCTCCTTTAACTTTTATTATTTTTTCTTAATAAATTATAAGATTAAGGTAACTAACCTTAGCAGTAGGGACAACGGTAATTTTCTTGAAATTATATAGAGCCATTGTAAATAGTTCAGTTTTTTTCTACTTTTCTTGTAAATATGAAACTACAATAAAATAAACATAATTAAATGTATATTCACATATAAACTAAATTATTCCAAACCACTTTGAGAATACGAACTTAAGAACACGTGCTCCGAATGCACGAACGTACAAAAAGAACGTTTTGGAATGCAACCTGAATATGTATCGTCGTATGTACATCAGATACACAGGCTGCGTTCCGAAATTCACTGCCAGTAACTGAAATCTATAGTTCATGTCACGTATATTATAGAATTTCAGCACTGGCAGTGAATTTCGGAACGCAGCCATAGATATCTATACTAAACTAGATTGCTAACAACGGTTTCGAACGTGTGTCGCGTAAGGTTTCTATTCATGCGAGAAAATGGCGGCGATCCTGTGTGTGGACGTTTGTGTGTGACATGTTACTTGTGTGAGTACTTATAACGTACAATGTGAGTCAACTTGGCCATTAAATTACTGTCGTAAAACCAAAAATGTCAGCATCTTATTGCATCAAAAAATGTCGTAACAAAAAACAGATAGTATTGGGCGTTATTTGCTCTGCTCATTTCCAACAAAAGAATTTTATGACTAAACGTAGTGAAAATATGTGGCGGTAGCGGCCATCTTCTCGCATGCACCGGAAACTCTATCGGATACAAATCGTAAAGCCCGTATCATACTAGCGATTGATGATTGACGATTGAAGATTGGAACTGACCAATTGGAACAAAGCAACCCAAGGTGAAGCTCGTTGATTCGTCAAAACCTAATCTTCAATCGTCAATCATCAATCGCCAATCACTAGTGTGATACGGGCTTAAGGTCGTATTCCTTCAGCGAGTTTATCACCCTTATCGAAGTGTGAACTTCCATACCTATATCCTGGGATACAAATAGATATACGCGCTATATTTAAATCTATGCTCGCGCGAGCTGTTCTATATTTACAGCATATATGAATTATAAACGCTTTTATATAATGAAAGAATACGGAATAATATTGAAGTATTGAACATAAAATAATTATACGCAAAATCTCATTTAATATTCAAAAATATACATAAACATAAGAGAGAAAGATTTTGATTAAAATACCAGTTTACTTTGCTAGCTAGATATCCTACCATTGGCATTTGGTTATATTAATCAGTGTTATAAAAAACCAATCACATATACAAAAATAAATATTATAACATTACTGAAACATATTCTTACACTATAAATTATGGCAATTTGTCATAACTTGAGTACAAAAAGTTGCGATAACCTTTTACGTATTACGTCGATCACATATTTTATATTATATATCTCAACAATCTTAAATAAGAATATCAAGTGTTATCACTTAAAATTCTACAAATCTTCACATCAAAGGAGTTTATATTATATTATTCAGAGCATCCATGTAATATGTTCCATGTCATACCAATGTCACATAACTTTACATTCAAGCCAGTAATTATTGCGCACACTGTGATGTATTATTTATACATAATATTATAGGACATGACAAATATATATATTATTTATATTTAAATATATTTATTTATGTACTTAATCATTACAGAGAAAATTTGAAAATAACATTTTAAAGAATATATAAAATATGCAATACGATTTTTATACTTTGCTTTTTATACTACTTAAAATTATACATGCAAGTTTTTAGAGTTTTAATTGAACATTATACATAACAATGTATCAATTTGTATAATGGAATATTTTTCATGTCTTTTTTACAGTCAAAAATTATAGTCAAATTTATGGTCAAAATGTAGCTTGAATGGAAAGTCCAATGAAGATCGTCGCGACTCAAAAGACACAAAACGGGCGCGGATTGATAAACTTTACCTTATACTTCTACTAACTTTAAGGTGAAGCTTTTGGTTTTAATTCGTCATAACATGGTCTCAGGAAGATTGAGTTCTTTTTTGCTGGATTATAATATTCATGACCCTAAAACATTTATATATAACTCTCATCAATAATTGTTCACATATAAATAAATAAATAAATAAAAAAAAAAATATATATATATATATAATTTACACTATGTTTTTATTTTATATACCACACAAATACCTTAGACCAGTCATAGGAGACAGCGTATGCGAATATCTGTCCATTATGATTAAAACAGCAACGTGTGATGGGTTGTTCCATGGTTTCTGATGATTTCAGTTTAGTACGTGCGTCTTTATCCCAAAAACCAAAAGTGCCATCGCTTCCTACAGTAGCCACAGTTCCATGTACTGGGTGAAATGCTATATCATTGACCTGTTAATGACATTGATATATTATGAAAAAAATCATTACATTTAAAATAAAGCTGCAGTAACTTTGTCTACTCACTGCATAGATGTCTTGATATCCATTAGGTGTTCCATTTGTTCGATGACATTTGAAAGTGAAATTTTCCTTAGAGCTAAGATTTAAGTGATGAATTGCAACACGTCCTTCTGTACTACCTATTGCAAAACCAGTTGGAGCTTTCTTCTTATCCTTGAAAATTGCTACACAACGATACTGATATTTCAAACTTAGTTCAACAGTTTTGTATTCACGTGGACTACCTTCCAATTGGTAGACTATTAATCCACGTGCAGCTGTTCCCACAACAGCCATGGGATAATCCTACAATAAAAGTTTGTGTAAATTATTCTGGTTTCAGAAAAAATATTTTAGTGCATGAGAATACACATATACATACAACATCTGCACAGTAACACCTTTCAGATAAATTAATGACCATTGCTGGTTTAGCACTACGCAAATCCCAAAACTGAAAAATTTATATTACTATTAGAGACCTTAAATATTTTTTCACAAGGTGTATATTTGCTTGCTTCTTACCTCATATAGTTTATATTATTTTATATTTTAGATTGACAAAATAATTGCAAAAATAAATTAAGATCACTGAATTAATTAAAAGTATTTGATAAATATCTCTTGTGTATACTCATAAATACCAACCTTTAATGTTTTATCCCAGGAACCAGTCATCAAACAAGAATAATTACTGGCTTTTATCCAATGACATGTTTTAATTGGTGCATCATGTGCTGCTACTTGTACACTTTGATTTGTGGCCAGATCCCAACATTTTGCAGTCTTGTCGCATGATACCATGAATACCTTAGTGCCGTCCTGATAATTCATTGCAATTTAGTATCATATTAGAATTAATATAACAAGTACATATTTTATTGCATATTTATATGTAATTATTAATGACTAAAATAAAGTAAATAAATAAATGCTCACATCACTCCAGCATACATCCAAAACTGGGGCTGCCATACTTTGCATTGATTTTGGTACAGTTTTACCAGACTGTTCCACTTCCCAACAGCGGACATTGCTATCCCAAGAACCAGCAACAAGAAAATTCTGTTGAATTGATGGTGGACTGAATGCTAAACTGGAAATGGAATCGTCTGGAGGCGAAACGACTTCAAAATCTTGCATAGGATTCGACGTGGATGATGTTCCCGTCCTTAATGTGCTGCCTTGATTAAACATTGTTAGTCCTTGATTATTTCCTGAGATACTTGCAAAAATGACCCATAGACCTCACGTTTCTAGCAAATTCAATGTCGTGTTAATTAAAAGATGTTTACAACGCAAAATAGTTTACCCTACCTCGTTTACTTATACGCGCTCAGAACGCGGCAAGTTTTGCCACAGAACATGAAACAATAAAGACTGCGTTCCACATTTAGCTCGACGTGGCGGTCAAGTGCTTCTTTGCCGCCAGAATTTTTTGCTCATATCGCGCTTGCACGCTTTACTACTCCAGTACTAATTGTACTATTATAAACATTTAATTACAGTAGAATAAACTGGAAAAGTCAGTACTTTTTGAACGAAACTGATATCTAATTATCGCGTGCTCCTGTGTGCAGGAGCCATTAGAGAGTCGAGTTCAGCAGTGCAGCTGAAAAGAACAGACCACTATTGTTATGGCGTATCTGGCGCAAAATTTAAACGCAAGTAAAAAAATCGTATAGTCAACCAAGATTGCGACAATATGGGATCATCTGTTTTAATTATATATGTTATTAAAACTGTTTTAATTATATATATTATTATTAAAATTATATATATTATTAACTGTTTTAATTATATATATTATATATATTATTATATATATGTCTTAATTATATATATTATTTATATGTGGTTTTTCTACTTTTGCAGCCTTTCATGTAATCAGGTATATTGTAAAAGAAAATGGAGACCTCTATCTCATATTATTTTTGTTTATAGAATACACCGAAACGCAGTATTGCCTTGATTAAAATTCCGCAGCACTCAAACGTAACGTTTGATACTTTTGTGAATATATAATAGACCTGTTCTTTGTAACTGCACTACTGAACTACAATCCATTGAAGTGAGACAAATATACGTTTTCTTACTCTAACTTTTTGCACTGGTTCAGCAGTGCAGCTATAAAGAACAGGCCTAATGTTTAATATCATTTAAAATGTAATTAAAAAATGACCCCCTGTATAATTGATGTATAATTGATTTTCTCTTTACAAATATATTTCTCATTTTATACGAAGTTATATTTATAACAAAATTCGGTGTTATGAAAATAAAGTACATAAATTAGGTAATATCTCACATTAATTTGTACACGTAGCTCACAGCTCTGCAATTGCTTTTGTTTTAATTTATACTTTGTAATTCTGTGCGGTACCAGATCCGTAAGTGCGATCCCACTCAATGTAGATGTTCAAGTCTGACTGCGACACGCTGGGTCGCACGTTGTTTAGAGCCTCCTCGAAGTCACGTTTTGTGATATGTCTCACCTCTTCCATCCTGATATCCTCTAATTGACTGAACGGAATGCTTCTGATTGGCTCCATGCTGGCTTCCTTGCATAGATTCGTCATATCAGCACCGGAATATCCTGCGGAACACTCCGCGATTATCGCGACGTCGTCCGAGCTGAGATTGTGTCGCACCGAGGCCAACAAATTGTTTATGATCTGCTCGCGTGCTTTCAATTCCGGCAGAGGAACGTACAGCCGCTTGACGAGACGTCTTCTCGCCGCCTCGTCTAACTCCTGCGGCCGATTAGTTGCGCCAACGATCAAAATGCGATCGTCGTCCGATGTCGCCGCGCCGTCCAGCTGCACGAGAAATTCCGTTTTCAATCTGCGAGAACTCTCGTGCTCCGTCTCGGACCTCTGCGTCAGCAGCGAGTCTATCTCGTCGATGAAGACGACCGACGGCTGGTGAACTCTCGCTACCGCGAATAATGCGCGTACCATCTTCTCACCTTCACCGATCCATTTAGAGGTGAGAGAGCTGGCGGAGATCGAGAAGAATGTGGATTTGCTCTGCGAGGCGATGCACTTGCCGATTAGGGTCTTGCCAGTTCCAGGCGGGCCAAAGAGCAAAATACCTTTGGGTGGACGGCGTAGGCCGGTGAAGATGTCCGGTCGCAGCATCGGGAACACCACTACTTCCTTGATGATCTTCTTGGTATACTCCAGCCCCGCGATGTCATCCCACGTTACCGACTTGTCCGAGTCCATGATTTCGTTCCTGATCAGCTCGATCATGGTCGGATCGATGTTCCTCAGCCTCTCATCCTCCACCTCCTCTGTGTTAACCCTGTTCTGCGCCCGACTGTTGTAGCTCTCCATTGACTTTTCTTTGTCGCGTTTGAAAGGACAGACAAATTGAGAATTAACCGCCGCTCGACCGCCCAAGCTCTTCTTTGGTGGCCCTCGGCCGTTCTTCATTTCTTGAATGTACAATTCGTCTCTGGCGCTTCTAAAGGCTCCACCAAACGCGTTCTCTTGTGCTTCCGCTTTTTCGTCGTCAAACTGCGGGATAGTAGCGGCTGGTTTTAACTTCGGCGCACGAGGATTTGGTACTTTGTGCAGGCTCTTAGTTCTATCACTGATGTCATTGTTAATTGGTTTAGAAGGGCGTTTTTGTACAAAGTTGTTCAAATTCTGGTAAGACCGACTATACGTGTTTGACTGAAGTTTGGGTACATTCTGTTCAGTGCAACTTACACGCATATTGGAACTATTGCTTCTGGAGATATTTGTGAAGTATGCAGATGTGTTCGGTTCATCATTAGGCTCCACTAAGACCTTACTTACATTTTTTCTTTGGCTTGTTGAGGGAGTTGCTTGTAATTTGCTTGTACTTGCTTGCATTTGCAAGGGAATCTTTCTATTTCTCTCTGATAATGTATCCTTTTTGGATTTATTTATCAATTTCTCTATGTCCCTATCATTGTAAGATTTCCCTTTGCAAGGTAAAGTATTGCTTTCTTGGCAAGTTAGAGGTTTTATAATATTCAGTGCATAATCCACATCGTTCAATCCAGATTTCCACTTTAATGGATCATTTTTTAAATTTGGTAGTTGAGATTTAATCTGTTTCCAATAATTGTTCACTCCATCTTTGTCTTTCATTAGGGTATCATAGTCTTCAAGACCCTCTCGAAGTAATATTGCTGCAGTATCATCTGAATCACTGTAAAATATTTTATGAGTAAGAAAACACATTACGTGTAAGCTCTTGATATTATATAAAATTACGTTTTACTTACTATAATTTCGCTGTCATATACTTCATAGCTAAAGATCTGCGTTCAATGTCTGCAACTTCAAAACAGTCTTTATCCTGCTTGGAAAATTTCAGTGTATGATACACAGCCAGGTAATTATTCTTTTCTATCTTCTTTTCATTCTTTAGATCTTGTGCAACACCTTGTGTATTCTCATTGACAAAGCTCATATTTGTATCCTAATAAACGTTGACTTGAAATATCTGAAATATTCATATTTGAGAATAGATAAAGCATTATGTAAATTCTATCACGTTTATATTTCACATTTTTCTTTTTTTTTTCCTCTATTAGTACACTCTTTTTTTCTCTCTCTCTCTTTCTAGCTAACCTTTTTGGAATATAACAATAACGTTCACAGTAAGTTTAGCTCTCAAATTTTATATTTTTGCACGTGACACCTATTATAAGTCCCTATCTACAATAGGTGTAGTAAGCTTTAAGTCGTAAGAAATTAACCAATCACGATTGATTATTCTTCTATAATTCGACTATGATTGGTCAATTTTTTAAAGCTTAAAGCTTATTACACCTACTGTACATCGGGACTGATCCCTTGTCCACAACCTTGTTTTAATCTTTAAGCCGTAATAAATTGACCAACAACAGTCGATTATTTTAAAAATAATTAACTGTGGTTGGTCAATTTCTCACGGCTTAAGAATTAAAGCAAGGTTGTGGACAAAGGGTTATGGCTCCTGCACACAGGACGCGGTAATGCTTGCCGCGCGGTGGAAGTTCGCGCGAGAGCCAATTAATATGCTGCTTTCCGTAATGACCTTCTAGTTCTTACGGACAAATAACATGTTGATTAGGTGTCGCGTGGACTTCCGCCGCGCGGCAAGCATTATCGCGTCCTGTGTGCAGAAGCCATAAGCGTCTGTAATAGAGATGCCCTATAATCGATTCGATTCTTTCCCTAACAAATTTAGGGAAAAAGGGTTGTTCGTGCTGCTTGTATGTTTCATACTTTTCGCTTTTAAAAAGAGATGGACGCCTAATTAGATGCTTGGAAGAAACAGTCGAGTTGGTTGTCTCGTTTTTGCTTCTTCGAAACATTCCAATATACTTCTGTCTAGTTTTAAATACGAAAAGTGCGAAGAGTGCAAACAACACGAATAAACTTATTTTTGGGGAAAGAATCGAACGATTCAGAATCGGGCATCTCTAGTCTGTCAATATCTGTAGCACCGCCAGGACCAAACAACGGCAAAAGAAGGAACTCAGAAGAGTAAAACAGAGTAAAGGTGCCAATATATGGGAGCGTTCCAGCGTCGAGCGTTAAAGCATTAGCCAATCAATGTATCAGGTCCCAGAAGTATACTTGTAGTTCTTGCGGAAAGTGGTACGTTGATTGGTTACCGCTTTAACGCTTGACGCTCGATACTCCCATGTAAAAGGTACCTTTGTAGCATGTTCGACTGGCTCTGGGTTAACCCACTCTGGGTTATTCAACCTACGTTTATTGGTCGAACAAGTACTTATAAACTTTATGATTGGCTAATAGCACTTATGACGTCATTAGTCGCTCTCGGAGCGATTAACCTAGGGCCAGTCGAACACGCTATTAGCAACGTAAACGCTTCTAATATCCGCATATCACATGGTGATATGTATTGGAAAGACGTAACAGTATAGTAGAAGGTAAGGAACAGAGAATAGAAATTCTGATTGGTCAATTATTTCTATTCCTTGTTCCTATTGGCTATTGCCTGTTCCTATTGCCTGTTGCCTGGCATTCTGCAAAGGCCTTAATAAAAAGAATAAGGGCCTGAGCACAGACTTTTGCATAACGCATAATGCATAACACATAAAGAAATCAATCAATCAGAGTCATTCATTTCTATCCTGGAGAGGAAAATAAATTTCTCTGATTGGTTAATTCCCTTATGCGTTATGCGTTATGCGTTATGCAAAAGTCTGTGCTCCCAGCCTTAGGGCTATCGCACGCAAATTGAAATATTAAGCATCGAACACCAATATGGCGACTTAATACTCGATGCTCATTGGTACATACGGTCTTATGCTATGCATATGCAGTTATGTCAATTTGTGTGCGATAGCCCTTAGACTTTCTTGAAAACCACAAATACTTTATAACAAAATTAATTATAGAAAATTATGTTAAAATTATTATGAATTAGGAGGGAAAATTAATGAGCCAAAAATGTCAAAATATCAGACATAAATTGAAAATTATTTTATTTCAAAGACAATAATATACCGTAATTTTTTTTGTAAGCCGTTGCAAATTGTTCAAAGTTCCGGGGGAACACCACAGTGTTCCAAGTTACCTCAAATGACGGTATTTTAAATAATGTTTTAAAAAAATAATTTTAAATAATGTTTTAAAAAATGTTGAACGTTTTTTTTATAATATTACATATATATTATATAAACATTTTTAATATATATATATATTTTTTATTCATATATTATATATCTCTTATTATATAAATACATTATATAAATATTACATAAATATTATATATTCTTACGTAATATAATAAATACAAATTTGGTCTCAAATTATATAAATATCTTATTTTGTGTTTTTATATTTTCCTTGCAAATCAGATTTTTTTTTCTTGTTACTTTAAAAATTGTTGAAGATTTATTTGAAGAAAAAATGAAAAAGTCTGTTATTGACGATTAAAGAAATATATTTTTCATGTATTTCAATGATAACTGCAATTTATGATGACGGACATACACATAAAATATCTTTCACATGGTAAAATAGAAATCACAAGTATGTAATAGTTTACATAATAACCGTTGTTTGGTTCTGGCGGCGCTGCAGATGTTGACAGACGTTTTGCAGCAGACATAAGTTAGCGGCTAGCAATCCATAGTTATATAGTCAAAGGGATTAGACCGATATTCATATAGTTAGGTCTTATATTTAAGATCGTCTTAAGTTCACCTTCAGATACTCCATAGTCAATAAAATGATCCGTACAGCACATCTGAAAATAAACTTAAAACGGTCTTAAATGTAAAATCCGGCTATGAACATTAGCGTAAGTTATACATCCTTTTATTCAGTGATATATGTATAAAAAGATTCATAATTGATGTTGATATATTGATTACTGCAGTTCGATGTCTCGACTGCTGCGATTCGATATATCTATGGATGTATCGATAAGATTGAAGTTTGTTTGAATGTACATTACCGGCGCGCCAAGTGCATAGTGGGTAACCGCTGGGCGCAGTTCGTGCGTAACATACAGCGGACTTCTGCAAGCTCCGAAACGTATTTCGTAAGTAACATTAGCATTAAATGAATTTTTAAGTCATACTCGTCGATTAAATGGTCACGAGATAGTCGAAATATAAGAGAGCACATCAAATATCGTGTGCATTGAGTCGGCAATGCTCACCGATGTGTACACTCCTGTCCAATCTTGAAACAATGATTGATGCATAAAGCCATATAACTCGCGCAGTTATAACGATGCCTGTAATTCATACATAGCGCTCGCCAGCAACATAGTTTACATCGCACGGGAATACTCGTCTGCGACGCGCACCAGTTTCGAAACACCTAATTATCAACTGTATAAACTTTGCAGTGTCCATTGTGCTCGTAGCTTGTTTCGCGGTAGAGTCGTGCTAATAGAGATACATCTGGTTTACACTTCGAACAGATTCGGCATCGTGAGATAGCGCGCACGAGAAATATCGAAAATGAAATATCCAAGCGAAGAAGGTTAGGATTAATTTTTGTCGAAAAGTCGAATCCGGCAATATTTCAGTGAGCAACAGAAGAGTGTAAGAAAGAAAGAGTGAGAGAGAGAGAGAGAGAGAGAGACTACGAGAGAGAGATCATGATGTTCTTAAAAATAATAAATAACAAAATAAGAGAGACAGAGAGAAAGAGAAATATGTTATTAATACTGAAGAAAAATTTTCTTTACTAAAGAAAAATTTATAATTTTTTAGATATTTTTTTCTCAGTGTAGATTAACTATGTGTATAGAAAAGAAAACCTCTATCTTCCGAATCATTTTATTTATTCACTTTTTGCAGGATTTAACGTGCATCTCGAGGCTGAATTCACTGTGTGGATATGATCGGTCGCAACCGCCGGCCACCCGTCGTAGATTGAAATGTGAGGACAATCGCCGCGGAAACCGCTATATTGGGGTGAGTGTGTAGTTCCATTGAGGTGATCGTGTGATCGCCGCTGCAATCCGCGGTGCTGATGTTCGGTAACCCTTGCAGTATTGAGTTACTGGACATCTATAGGGTAATCCAAAATTCGCGCGGATATTCTGCTAATTTTAATTAATATTTTCTCAGCAAATTGCCTCTCGAAATCACAAGTAACATTAGCCCCGTGCTCGGGGCAAAATCGTCTTATAATTTAATTAGAAAACAGGTTCACAAAATTAAAGTCCACAGGCACAGCCCGCGGGAACGTAACGGCACGTGGCTGAAAAGTGGCAGCGGCGTAATTGCGAAGAACGACAACGGTTACATGCGCAAAATGAGTTTCTCGTAAGATTAAGTGCGTTTCTTCTCTGGTACGTGCTTGTCGTATCATACGAAGAGATAATAATATGTCTTCTTTTTCATCCTTTTGCTTATGCAGAGCAGAATTTTTCTTCATGTTCACATCAAAATATACACGTATATATTTCGTGCGTTGTATTCCCCATTCCGTGCATAATGAAACGGAATATAGTGTGACGGTGATAAAGCGCGCACACATTTGTGAAATCTTAATTAGCTGCTTTGCCTTTAACGTATAATATAGAACACTTCAAAATGAAATGTGATCAACATAAAATTAATGTTAAAGAGTGTCCGTCGAATAAAAATACTCGAAATCCCGTTACACGTTTTCCGATAACGTATTTCTATGATATTTCTCCTTCGATATTTTTTACAATAATCTTTAATATTTTTAATAAAATTTTTAAAGTGTCTTGTGGGTCCTTACTAGATCTTAAATTCTTTTTTTTCTTTTTCTTAACCAAACAATTTGATATCAAAAGTGTTAGGGAATTATATATTCAAGTCCAAATTTTTATTTCAATTTGTCGTTGCAAATCTTATCGAGAGTTTGAAGCATTGATGTGGAAAAGCAGTAGAGGAAATAGGACTGTAACTGAATATGTAATGAATGCAAAGTTTATTTTTGTATTATTTGTAATAATTGTTTTCTATTTGTTATAAAGTATGTTTCTCACCGCGTATAAAAGAAAATATTCATCGTGTAAGATAAAAAGTGGTAGTTTACATTAGTGAGGTATGTGGAGCGAATAAAAATTGAAAGTATAAAAGTCGAAAGATAGCGCGGAGAGAAAGAATAGAGACTTGTTTTTCTCAGGTCAATCTGAGAAAAAGAGAAAAGTTAATGATTACGTAAGCATTTTTTACAATTACGTAAACCTATCAAAAGGTCCGAGTTATCTATAGAATAGGAAACTTGGCGCAGGTAGCGTGAGAATTCCGCTGAGTGTACATTTGTGCTCCCAATAGTAACACGATAAAGTAGTTAAAACTTGATCGATCAATACTGCAATAAAATCGTCAATACTGTTACCAACAGTAACTTTTGTAACAAGCTTACAATAGAAAAGAGTGACATCTTTTCTGTCACAA